TGAAAGGTAGAATGAACTAATGGTCTTTTAAAGATACACCTCACCAAGCTCAACCTCCAACTTAAAAAGGACTGGACAGTACTTTTACCTCTTGCCCTTCTCAGAATTAGAACCTGTCCTCAAGATGCTACAAGGTACAGTCCATTTAAACTTTTATATAGATGCACTTTCTTGCTCGGCCCCAACTTCGTCCCAGACACCAACCCTCTAGGCGACTATCTTTGAGCCCTCCAGCAGGATAGTCAGGAAATTCATCAGGTTGCTAATCTTCTTTAGCCTACTCCAGATTCTCAGCCGTATGAAGACACCCTAGCTGGACGATCAGTTCTTGTTAAGAATCTGATCCCTCAAACTCTACAACCTTGATGGATCGGACCCTACTTAGTCATCTATAAAACCCCAACTGCCGTCTGCCTGCAGGATCCTCCCCACTGGGTTCACCATTCCAGAATAAAGCTGTATCCATCAGCCAGCCAGCCTGATCTCTCCTCTTCCTCCTAGAAGTCACAAGTACTCACCCCTACTTCCCTTAAACTCACTCGCATTTCTGAAAAGCAGTAATAACCCCTATTAGCCTAATACATCCCTTCATTCTACTAGGTCTATTCATCCTTACCCTACTTTTTGCAACAGGGCTTTATGTAGTCACCCCCACTACTTGGACTGCACCCCAAAAACTTGTCATCCCTACTATCTTCTGTCTAGTCATACTTCTATTCACCATTCTCAACTACTGATAAATGCCCTGCTCTTGTTTACACTGTTTCTCCAAGCCATCACAGCTGATGTCTCCTGGTGCTATCCCCAAACCGCCACTCTTGACTCCCTCTTGGAGTGGATAGATGATCTTTGCTGGCAGGGCACCCTCCAATACTTTCACCCTGATGAAGTTCTATTCTTTACTTTTATAATCACTCCTATTCTCATTCCCATTCTTATGCCACCCTCTACCTCTCCCCAGCTATCTCCACCACACTATAAATCTCACTCACTCTTTCCTAGTCATTTCTAATCCCTCCTTAGCAAACAACTGTTGTCTTTGCCTTTCCCTTTCTTTCTGCGCCTACACAGCTGTCTGCCTTACATACAGACTGGGCAGCATCCTCTGTCTCCCTATACCTCCGAACTTCCTTTAACAGCCCTCACGTTTACCCTCCTGAAGAACTTTTTTACTTCCTAGACAGGCCCAGCAAGACCTGCCCAGACATTTCACATCAGCAAGCTGCCGCCCTTCTCCGCACTTATTTAAAAAACGTTTCTCCTTATATCAACTCTACTCCCTCCATATTTGGACTCCTCACAACACAAACTACTATTACTGTGGCCGATCCTTTATGCACCTCTCGGCAAAGACCCACTGGAATTCCCCTGGGTAACCTTTCACCTTCTCAATGTTCCTTCACTCTTCATCTCCAATTGGGGCCTTCCAGCTCTGTATTACAGATAAGTCCTCTATCAATACTGGCAAACTTAAAAACATTAGCAGTTACTACTGCTTAGGAAGACACTTACCCTGTATTTCACTCCATCCTTGGCTACCTTCCCCTTGCTCACCAGACTCTCCTCCCAGGCCCTCTTCTTGTTTGCTTATACCCAGCCCCATAAATAACAGTGAAAGGTTGCTCATAGATACTCAACGTTTTCTCAGACACCATGAAAATCAAACCTCCCCCTCTATGCAGTTACCCCAACAGTCCCCATTACAACCTCTGACGGCTATTGCCCTAGCTGGATCCCTTGTACCCAGGAATCTGGGTACAAGACACTTCTTTTAGTACTCCTTCTCACCTTTTTACTTTGCATTTCCAGTTTTGCCTTGCACAAGGTCTCTTCCTCCTCTGTGGATCCTCTCCCTACATGTGTCTACCTGCTAACTGGACAGGCACATGCACATAGTTTTCCTTACTCCCAAAATTCAATTTGAAAATGGGACCAAAGAGCTTCCTGTTCCTCTCATGACACCGACACAACAAAAAAGAGTTATTCCACCAACTCCCTTGCTTGTCGATTTAGGACTTGCTGCCTTCACTATTGCTCTCGATACTGGACTAGCAGGCATTTCAACCTTTGTCATGACCTTCCATAGTCTCTCTGATGACTTCTCTGCTAACATCATGGACATATCACAAATTTTAAAAAGCTTTATTGCTCACACAAAGCCTGTTTGGTGGTCTCTTCACATGGATGCACACAACAGAAAATCTTTAGGTATTCCCTCTAGTAGGATTAATCACAGTCTGCTATCAAACATCCATTATTTCAATATCTTTTAAAATATAATTAAAATAAGTGATTTACACATCTTCTCATTCATTAAATTGTGCATGAATTCCTTGAGGGCAAGATGTTGTCTTACCTTTTTTAGTATTTCATATAGTGATGGTCTCCAATCTTTTTGGCACAAGGGACCAGTTTTATGGAAGATCATTTTTCTGTGGTCTGGGATGGGGTGGAGAGGATGGTTTTGGGAAGATCTAAGCACATTACATTTATTGTGCACTTTATTTCTATTGTTATTACATTGTAATATGTAATGAAATAATTACACAACTCACCATAATGTAGAATTAGTGGGAGCCCTGAGCTTGTTTCCTGCAATTAGACAGTCCCATCTGGGAGTGATGGGAGACAGTGACAGATCATTGGGCATTAGATTCTCATAAGGAGCATGCAATCTAGATCCCTCACGTGCACAGTTCTGCAGTAGGATTCATGCTCCTATGAGACTCTAATGTCACTATTGATCTGACAGGAGGCGGCACTCAGGCAGTAATGTGAGCAATGGGGAGTAGCTGTAAATATAGATGAAGCTCCACTCACTTGCCCACCATTCAACTCCTGCTGTGTAGGCCTCTTTCTAACAGTAACAACCTGTGGCCCAGGGGTTGAGGACCCCCACCCTCCGCCCCATATACACCTAACAAATAATAGGTACACAAAAGTCTCAATAGATAGTAACAAAATTAAAACTTAATCGGTATTATGACCTGAGACCTTTCTCACTTTCAATGTACTCTGAAAACTTCTCAGGAATATTGACACCATGTGGACCTTTTTAGGATGTTTGCTTGCAAAAGACACAATGATATTTATACACAGTGGCATTAAAAAAAGAAACACATTAGAGAGAAAAGAGTTCTATATGTCAGACTGGTCCTTATATTTGAATACTAAGAAATTATAGTACTAGAATGAATGATGAAAAACAAGTAAATATAAATCATAAGTAGATAAAATTTAATCATAAGTAGATAAAAAATTGCAGAACACAGTGGACTGTGAGTCCAACTAATAACACACAAAGGGTCTGTGTCTATATCTATATGAAAGGTATGTGTATTAGAGGGTAAATTCTGGATGACTTGCTTTGTAGAAATAAGAATTTATTTTGTGCTTTGCCAGATATTCAATTCAGGACTCTAGAAGCAAGCAAGAAGAGTAATCACAGATTACTGTAGGCAGCTAGCCAACTATATTTACCCCAACACACAAAGAGGCTTTTAAACACAGTCAAGATTGGGTAGCCCTCTAAAAATGAAAAAAGACTGAGACAACTCAGCATCTGCAGAATGTAGAGAAAATCTGTTAGGTCCTTAGGTTAGGTGATGAACTGGATATATAATCAACTTCTGTTTTTTTAATTTTTTATGTTTTTGAGATGGAATCACACGCTGTCATCCCGACTGGAATGCAGTGGCATGATCTCGGCTCACTGCAACCTCCACCTCCTGGGTTCAAGCAATTCTTGTGCCTCATCCTCTGGAGTATCTGGGATTGCAGGCACTTGCCACCATGCCTGCCTAATTTTTTTATATTTTTAGTGGAGACGGGGTTTCACCATGTTGGCCAGGCTGGTCTCAAACTCCTGACCTCAGATAATTCACCCGCCTTGGCCTCCCAAAGTGCTGAGATTACAGGTGTGAGCCACCGCGCCTGACCCTATAATTAACTTCTGATGTACAGCATCTGTCATCAGGCTTAGTCCAGTTGGACAGGTAGGGACATTGGCTGATATCAAGGTCCCATTGGGAAATGCCATTACTAATGTGGTGTACCAGGCAACTTAGGCTGTAGGAATAGGTTGGATATGCTATATAAGGACAAAACAAACAAACAAAACAAAACAAAAGCAACATCCCTCCACCATTAAACTGTGTATGGGGTATCATAGCATTTGACATTTCAACAATGCTTTTGGCTATGTCAGCAATTATTTTTGCAATCTGCAAAGGTGGGGCCAAAAATAAAACAACCTTAATGAAATTTCTTGACTGCTTAGGTTTTTTTCATGGAATCTTAAATTCCTTTATTTTCTCTCAATTTTATAAGCAGGCAGCTACAAAATTAATATTAGCAAGCACTGTCTCATTAGATAGATATGTTATATTGGTATGCACTTTACTGATTATCTAGTCCTCAATTATTACATTACTTCAGACAAATTACTTAATTCTTCCTAGATACAGCCTCCTCATTCATGAAATGGGGGTGAGAATAGTACCAAATTCAGATAGTTGTTCTGAGGTTTAAGGGAGCATGCTGATGAAAAACACAAAACACAGTGTGTAATACAGAGTAGATACTCAGCATGAGCTTTGAGTAATACATCACTATACAGCATGTCTCTTACTACATAATGTTATTATTCTCTATACATTGAATTATATATTATATAAATTATTATATAGTTGAACTCTTTCTTTTTATATACAGACACTAAAAGTCAGAGACATTTATTCACTTTTTTTTTTTTTTTTCCTGAGATGGAGTCTCACTCTGTCACCCAGGCTGGAGTGCAATGGCGCAATCTCAGCTCACTGCCACCACTGCCTCTCACGTTCAAGCGATTCTCATGCCTCAGCCTCCTGAGTAGCTGGGATTACAGGTGTGTGCCACCAGGCCCAGCTAATTTTTGTATTTTTAGTAGAGATGGGTTTCACCATGTTGGCCAGGCTGGTCTTGAACTCCTGACCTCAAGTGATCCACTCACCTAGGCCTCCCAAAGTGCTGGGATTACAGGTGTGAGCCACTGCACCCAGCCGAGATTTGTTCACTTTTCTGAGGTAACTCTATTGTATTTAAAAGACATGGTTGCATACATTGAAAGTGAGTATAGAAGGAAATAAATCTGGACTCTTGAGATGAAGCTAAGGAATCATCATTGTTTGATGTTAGTCTTCTAATCCATTGAAAAATCTTTCTATGAAAAGTGTTTTCAGAAATGGAGTAGAGACCAATAAAGCTGTGGTGCTACAGCTTTCTTGATTTCCTCTTGGTATCTTAAAAGGGTGAGTAATTCAATCCAGTTTAATGAGTATTGGCTACTGGGTATTTTTCAGTATCATAAACGCTGTGTTTTGCAAGTTTTTTTTTTTTTTAACTCAGCAAATTATTTCGATGGAATTTTAAGTTGTCAAAAATGTTCTTTAATTGAACCTAGCAAATCTTTATTGAGTACCCCTTGTATATTGAAAAGGGGTATACAAAAATTAATGATAAGTAGTCTTAATAGCAGGCAACTAATTATAATACAATATGATTGGTGCTGCTATGGAAGGAAACGCTCTAGAATTTTGTTTGTTTACATATACTTGAAAATAAAAATGCTTGAGGAATAAATGCTTGAGACGATAAAAATGGAAGAAGAAAACACATATTACAGGAAAGAGCAATGAACAATGGCACCATGGTTTAAATGTACATGATGTTGGGGGAATGACTAAAATATGTAGGGTATACGTGAGCATGGTCAAAAGCTGGCTAGAGACAGGCTGATGATGGGTCTTTAGTGCTAGAGACTTCATTATGAACAGTATCAGTAGCTCAAAGAGGTTTATAAAGTAATGACAAGATTAACTTTGTTTTTAATGATCTACTTGAGACACCGGAAGGTAATCAAGTAGAAAAAAAGAACAATTCTTGGCCCCTCTTTAGCAGGTATGTTCTAAAAATGACAGCTAATTTGAATACTAACTTCTCGAAAATACAGATAGGAAGACAAATCTTCTAAAGACCAAATCCACCTCTACTCAACTTAATGGCTTTGTATCAGCTGTACTATGACCCCCTCTCATTCTCTTGGACGATGGGGAGATGAACGCATTGGTAATGAAATACCCATCAGTCCTCAACCACATCCCTATTTTAAAACTGAATTTGCACAATAGCTTTTTGAAAGGCCTGTCAGTGCTGCACTGTCGCCTCTGTCGCACTTCTCTGTGGGAGCTGACATTTTGCTGGTACTTCATCAGGCTGGACCACCTGCTGAGAGCCAGATTGGTAAGGGAAATGCATCTCACTGTGGGAAAGGACAGGAGATGTATTATTTAAATACAATTTATTTTACAGCAACTTTAAAAATCTGATTTACAATTGTTTCAGAGAGGAGGAAGTATCTTGTTGTACCTTAGCTCTTTGTGTTTGGTAATACTTAAGACTTTAATTGCTTTTCTAATTTTTAAAACTTGTTTGCTGTTTTGCCTTGCTTTACACCTTTACACATACTCTTTTACTTCTACCTTAGATAACTGATAACTGTCTTTTCTTTTTCTTCTTCTTCTTCCTTTTTTTTTTTTTAAACAAAAGTGTATAATTAAGGAAATGTCAGCCCTCATTCGTGCTGGGTGTGGTAGAGGAAGTTGGAAAACAGCTTAGAGGTTGTTAAAGGATTCTCTAGATTGAGTCAAAACCTCAGCTATACGAATTCTAGAGTAAAAGATGAGGAGGCTGTGTTTACACATAAAGCAATTCAATACCTTCTTTTGTCTGTTTTTTGAATCTTTAATCCATTTAGCCAAACAATTGATTTTTGTCTTAAAAATAAAATAGACTATTTAAATGGCAAATTTTTGTTGGTTGGAACTATTTGTTGGTTAATTCAACGAAAAAGATCAATCAGGTTATCTGTTTAGAAACAGTAAAATAAAACTGATACCTGAAAAGTAATAATTTCTTCATATCAAAAGAGAAAGTAAAAGTTAAGAAATTGTTTGGTGTGTTCAGAATACATCAATATTTGCCAGCCAGTGGTATGCTGGATCCGTAACTACCAGCTCGGGAAAGCCAACTGTTACATTTTCAGGAATTTTGCAAGGCATTTGAAATCACCACGGTAGGAGTATTATACCTTGGAAATAGGCAAACACTAAAACCCAGTGCTTTCATCTTTCACAGAGCCTGTTAAACATTTGCCAGCTTAGCACTGAGGAAGGCTTACACCTGTGTTCATTATGGTTTTTATGAAGTTTGATCAAATAGTATTTGAAGCATGGATGTATTTGGAATTAGTATTTCCCTTCCCATGTCTTTTCTCCATTCTAATTTTCTCTCCTTTAGTAGTAAAGGGGACTGTTTTATAAGTGCTCCTAAAAAAATAAAAGTAATCACTAAATGACTAAGGAACAGAAAATGAGGTTTCTGAAGAAACAGAAATAAAATATTCAGAGGAAATGTTACTATGTTGTTTTAGGTGTTTATTTTTCAAGAATTCGGGTAGTGCTGATGAGCTATGGTTAATATTCACAATAGGAGTAAAAGGAGAAAATGGTCTTAAATTAAAGAAACAATAAGTTGAATACGACTGAAGGAAAAAATATCTTCACTATTATGGGAACAGTTTAGGCCAACAGAGAATACTTTAAGAATAGGTAACTATTTTTCTTGGATATTTAGTCAACAATTGGTCTAAAGATGATGCCATTTTTTTCTCTGATTGCTAAGGAAAAAGTAGTAAACTAGTAAATATGAAAAAGACAGAAATGTATAAAGGAGAAAAATATTCACCCATAGTCCCACCATCTAGAGATGGCCACTGTTTAAAAACTGCTGTCCTCTCTTCTACAATTTCCCATATACATACATAGGTACATGTTCTTACAAATTTGAGTCATTCTCTACATACAGCTTTTAACATCAACTAAATGTCAATTTTTCTGACATTACATATTCTTCTAAAACATGAAACTTAATGGCCTCAGAAGAGTCCAGTGATATGTTATATAATTTGCTCAATCATTCTCCATCTAGTGGGTATTAAGGTTGTTTCTACTTTAAGGTTTTTTTTTTTGTTATAAATAATGCTGGGATAAAGACAAGGCTAGCAGCCCTTCTCTGATTAGTTGCTAAAAGGCCTGACATATAAGATTTAACTGTCCTTCACAGAGATGATACATTCTTGTGAAGGGTGTGAGAGTGCCTGTGATTCCACCCCCATGGCCATACTACACCATACACATACTGTTTAGGAGGCAAAAACAAAAAACAGCAACAAAAAACCAATCTACCACAATCCAGAGGATTTTTTTAATACAGTGAAATAAAATATTTAAAAAGATTCTCCCCAAGTATTTGTATTTATAACTTCCAAACAACAGGATTTATTAAAAAGCCAATATATTTGAACATAGCTTTTTGGGCTTCCCTGCCTCTAAAATATATTACTTACATAGCCTATGAGTATTTTTACAGTTCATTATGCAGAGTAACTAGGTTTTAAAATTCTGTGAGCACCATAACAGGATATTTAGAGAAATGTTGTATGCTTTTCTTCAAATACAAGCCACTTTTAAAATGCCACACACATTCTTTGTGAAGTACGCGTGAAGCATTTTTAATGAATTCTATCTTTTGGTTCCATTCATTTTCCTAAATATCTTATTATGGTGATTATATAATTTGTGTTTGTGTCTGTGTGTGTAAAATCAGATAATAGCATGTAATACTAAAATTGGACTGGACTGGGAGTCAGGGAATATTTTTGCGTATGTATCATGATCAAATTGCCAATAAAATGTAAATAGTATTACTTATCACTAACAAATCTCTCAGGACTATCATGAAATGTTTTTCTGGGATTTGAAGTCATAGAAGGAAAGAACCGTAACATAACTATTAAAATTAATATTTTAAATAATGAGGAGTTTATCTTTTTCTTCACTTGTTTTTAAATGGTCTATTTATATCACTTGACAATTGGAACAGTGTAAACTTTATCACTATCTGTTTAATAATTATTCCATTAAAGTTGAGTTGGACAAGAGAAAATGTCACTTCACTGTGGAAATAGCAAGTAACTACCTTTTGAATATGTAAATTCTTACCTTTAAGCGGCTTTTTTTTTTGAAGCAAACAAGTAGGTTAGGGATGGCCAACTGCTTCTCCAGTAAACTATTCTACTGTTTGAAATGCTTGTCAAAAGTGCTAGAATAACAGTTCTAAAATAAAGAATCTTGCTATATACAGAAAGTCATAAAAGATCTAGTCCTATAACTTTTGCCTGAGGGTTCTCTTTGGGGGCAGCAATATTTCCCAAAGTGATCACATGATTAGCTCAGTGCTCAATACTATTTGCTTACATTTTATATATGTTGTTTCTGATTTTATATATTTGTTGGTTAATGGAAAGGTCCAAGCACTGAAAGCTAATTCAAATCACTGTTCACACTTCATAAAATGATAATCACAAATGTTTGCTAATCTTTATTAGACAAATTTGAAATAGTAATGATAAAAAAAAGTAGCATCATTACTATCCAGCCCATAGCTTTCCGCATGTTCTCAAGTCACTGTGTTTCATTGTCAATGGAGTAGAGAAGGTGATACAGGCAGGGTTAGCACAACTTATAAAGAATCACAACCAGAAAAGCGCACAGCAGGATAGTGGTTCTACCGTGTCCTTGAAACTAGTTCGGTGTAGCTAATCACTTTTTATCAGTCTCTAATCTGCTTCCATCTGAGATAATTCTAGTCTAGTAGGTTCTTAAAGTGCTGCTTTCAGTATAAATTTGAATAGCATACCACGGTAGATTGCTTCCAAAAATGTCTGCAACCGTATCTCTCAACTTGCGGGTCTTTTGCAATGGGCTTCTGCTACTCTTCTCTTCAGTAGGTAGAATCTCTTTCTCCTCCCCCCGAACTTGAACTTGCCCCATGACTTGCTTTAACCAATAGAATGTAGTGAAAGTGACAATGTGTGGCTTCTGAGGCAAGGCTTTTCCACCTCACATAGCTTTTGCTTGCACACTTTTGGAATGCTCCTTCTTTATTATCTTAAAACTGTCATGCTATGGGAAAGTCCAAGTTAACCTTGTGGAAATGTTTCGTGGAGGAAAGGGTAAGTTCCCTGGTTGAGCAGCCCAGCCATGCCCAGTCTGTTCTCAAATATCTACCAGCCAAAGCAGTCACGTGAGTGACCCCAGGGCATGTCAGTAGTATAATCGCCTCACCAACCCATAGAATTAAGGGAAATATTAAATCATTGTTTTAAGCCACAAAGTATTGAGGTAGTTTGTTACACAACAATAAATAGTGGGAATATGCATCCTAACATAGCAATATCTTGTATAGCAGGAAGAAAAAAGCATTTTTAAAGCTAACAGTTTTATTAACTTTGTTGGTTGTTTCGTCTAGGTTTATGACTTACATATGGTACAGGATTTTCCTGTGTAACCAGGAGTGCAGTCACAATTTCCAGTTTTTTGTTGTTGTTGTTGTTGCACTGACCTCCATTTTCACAGGGTGCAGAGGAGAACCAGCACTCTGGTCCCCAGAGGCCATCTGGGCAGACTTATAAAACAAAAAGAGAGAGAGAAAGAAAGAAACTTGTAGGAAGTGTCAAAATGGTCCAAGATTTCTACTGTTGCCTAACCAAGCTGGAAAAGTGTGTGTGTGTGTGTGTGTGTGTGTGTGTGTATGACAGAGCTGTAAGGAAAGAAATATCCTAGTAGCGTGTGTGTGTGTGTGTGTGTGTGTAAAGTATTCCCTGAAGAAATCAACATGATGCTATATCTTGTCACTTTGAAAACACAGATACAGAGGTTGGCTTTTTGCTGAAAATGTGGTTTTTCAGACAGTAACAATGGAAGCGATTTTGATATATATCTTTAGCAGCAGTTGCACAGAACAAAAACTGAAAATGAGATGTAATTTGTAAAGGAAGCTCAGGAGGCGTGGCACTCAGGAAGTTGCCCTCAAATGGTTGCCTAAATCCTGTTCTCCCAGACTTTGCTTCTTTTGTGAGCTAAAATAATCACACCAGAGGTTTACAAACTGTGTACTTTATGACAGTGTACAATGCATAAGGTGGGAGAAGAGAAACAGTGATCTGCTTTGTTGACTGTTCTTTGAACTAACAAAGGACAGGTGATGCTGCGGGGACCACTAAGGGCTCAGTGAGAGGTTTCCATGTGTGTTCTTCCATAGAAACCACTGGAATTAGAAACCCGGTGGAAAGCATTTTTTTTTTTTTTTATTCCAAGGAAAACGGTGGAACTTTCTTAAAAATATAACACTTATGAAAAGTTACATCAAATCGAGTTGGGCTGTGAAGTATCTTCTTGTCCTGGCAGTGTCTCTGAATAACAGAATTACAATATTTTCTGGGATATTCATACCCAATCTGTTGATTACTAACTCTGTTAAGCACTTTATGTAAAGTAGCTCATATTTCCAAAAGAGAACCCTATGGCATAAGCAAATTTATTTCCATTTTATATGAGAAACAGAGGCTCCCACAAGTTAAGTGACTTACTCTATATCACAAAGCTTGAACCCAGATCTTCTGGCCTCCGAAACTGGTGCTCTCAGCCACTACACCCAAATTTACTCTACAATACTAGGTACTCAGCATCTTTCAGGCCAATTAATCTGCTCTTAAAGATTCACCAGAGTTCAAAATTCGAAGTTCATCTGATGTGGAACTCTTCTGAAAAAAAAAATCTGTCTTTCTTATCATGATCCAGGGGTTGTATGGTGTCAAGGGGCCAGCTGGACCAGAGTCCTCTACATTCTGAGGTCTGCCAGGAGTGGGCATGCAAAATACCCTAGGCTACAAACTGCTCTAAACAAGGCAAAGACACCAGCTGCTTTACTTTTTTCTTTCTTTCTTTCTTTTTTTTTTTGCTATTTCACAGGTTAGTTGTAGAAACCATTTCTTCTGTTCTTAGAAGTCATTACTGATAAGCTAAATAAGGCCTGGTGCTGATTGCGGAGAATACTGTTCATTAGTGCCATTGAAACAATTTCCAGTCTTTAATTAACTATTCATCTGCAATCTAGACACAGGTTTGGAGTTAAGATTTTTAAAGATATGTCTGTCTCTAGGAGCACTTGGGCTACTTCACTCTTTTAAAAAAGAGAAAGAAAAACAACGGGCCTGATTTTCATCATGCACAACTCTTGGAGAGCTCTTTTTGCCTTGATTTCAACTGCCAATCACAGCAACCACATTCACCTGCTGCAGTCTGATTCATAATTTCATTTTGTGGTTAGACAAAAATATCAGAATTGGACAAAGTTATCTGATTGAAAAATAACATGTTTTCCAGAGATTATGGTGACCTCTCTATTTTGCTAATTTACATATACTTTCAACTCATTTTCCTTCACAGTAGGAATCTCAGAAGCATTTTCCAATAAAGTATATTCAGCAGCTGCTTTAAGAAAATGTTATCAGAATAAATTAAGTTTACCTAGGTTTGTTATATGCCATTGTCTCCTCATACATTGACTTCCAGGGCATGACTTCTCCAGGGGAAAATGAATAAGGGGCTGACTCTGGGCTTAAAAATCAGTTGAAGCACGAAGATGTTTAGAAATTGTCATGGCACCTACTCTCATACCACATTAAACTTGTTAGTGTCATGTTAGGCTTTGATTTTCCCAACTTCCTTTCCCTAATGCCTAGAAAGTCACAATCCAGCTACCTAAGTAACCTCTGTCCATGAAATCTAGATGGACATCACTGCTCACCCTCTCCAGTTCTATAACCACTAGACAACCTGGAACAGAGAAACTGCCCTGTCCATTCAGCTCCAGGAAAGCCCTGCAGACTCTCTGAAGATGGCATTGCAAGGAGAAAATGAGGATACGTGAGTGTCAAAGACCATTTTCAATCCTAGTGCCTGCCTCTATAAGTGGCCCCAACGAGATGATGGTTTCCTTTCGAACCTATTATTTCCTTCTGATTTTACACAAGGTTGTACTAAAGGGGAAAAATGCTGTGATATTTTCCTCTGAAATATAGTAATAAGTGCTTAATGCAAAATACATGATAATACAATAAAAATGTATAAAGAATAAAAATGCACATTTATGTATTAAGAAAATATTTATTGAGCAATATCTGTATATCAGGACTGTTTCAGGAGTTTGGGGATACTTGGTTGAACAAAATTTTTAGATACCCTTCACTCATGGGGTTCTGATCATAGCAGGAAAAGACAGGCAATAAATATTTGACATCATAATTAGAGTATGTGCTATATTAGAAAATGATAAGCACTATAGAAAAAGAAAAAAGTTGGGAAACTTACAAGTTACAGTTTTAAGTAGGGTAGTACTGATAAAATTCAGTAAAAAAGTAACATGAGACTTTTCGAAATGTGAAAGAGCTACTTAGGTACCTAGCAAAGAGCATCCCATGAATGCATAAGCCAGAGACAGTCAATACTGGCATCTTGGAATACCTTTTTCCAAATGGCATATGCATCTACACACACACACACATATATCTATATATGTTACTTGTAATTGTAATTGTACTATACAATAACACACACACACACAAAAAATGTAGGCTGGGCGCGGTGGCTCACGCCTGTAATCCCAGCACTTTGGGAAGCCGAGGCGGGTGGATCACAAGGTCAGGAGATCGAGACCCTCCTAGCTAACACAGTGAAACCTGTCTCTACTAGACATACAAAAAAAATTAGCCAGGTGTGGTGGCGGACGCCTGTAGTCCCAGCTACTCGGGAGAATGAGGCAGGAGAATGGCATAAACCTGGGAGGCGGAGCTTGCAGTGAGCCGAGATTGTGCCATTGGACTCCAGCCTGGGCGACAGAGTGAGACACCATCTCAAAAAAAAAAAAAAAAAAAAAAAAAAAAAAAAAAGAGAAAGAAAAAAAAAAGTAATACCTACAAATTTGAAAAAAAAAAAAAAAAAAAAAAAAATTAAAAAAAAAAAAAAATTTTCTATGGTTAAGCATTAGCATCTTTGAATTACATTTGTTTGAATGATCAATCCTTAGATATAAATAAAATAATTCTAATTCTGGAAGTTGGTAGTGCCTTGGGTTGATTAGTTCAGTTCAAAGAAGTGGTTGCCTAGCTTTAATCTTTCTGGATATAATTATCTGCAGTGTGATCTTTCTTCCCTCGCTCAAGCTAACAAGGGGACAGGGAGCAGCAGAGGCTAAGAAGACTGCATTAAATAACTTTATTGCCCTATGTCTCAGTTTCCTCACCTGTAAATAGGGGATTAATAGAGCTTATCCATCTTCTGAGGGCACTGGTGGATTAACTAATTAATAATCATATGATGCTGAACAAAGGCTGAGGATTATTATTAGAGAAGAAAAAAACTCTATCATCAGAGCATACCTTTCTGGCATCTGTTGCCTTGGTAACCAGATTTGCAGGTGCAACTACCATTTTTGGCACTGCATTCCAGGGTATTCTTCTCCACACACTGACATTCTGAAGTGCAGCCAGCTCCGTAGGCACCCTTGGGACAGCATGCAAGCAAATTGAGGCAAAGCGGTCACCTGAAAACCATGCTTTGTTTATTTTAAATTGTTAGTGCATAGGCATGTAGTTCTGTGGGGCCTGATTATGGGGAAAACAAGAGGATCATCCTGACTGCCAAAAAAAAATAAGGAAACAAATGTCTTTTAAATCAGGCAATTCATTTGCTTTTTGGCAACTGGACGTGAACGGTGAAGCCTGAACTACTTAAAAGGCTTTGGTGCTTCCGGGAGAGAAATTGCTTCTCAATGTGCTCCATTGGTGCCTATAGTTAATATTCTCCAAAGAAAGCTAAGACCTGCCAGGCCCCATATTCATCCTGCTGCAGCATGGAGATGACGGACAAGCACTTATGAGAAGGCTGGCCGTTATTTTCATTCCCTTCTATTCTATGGTAATCGGAAATAATTTTACATCGTGTAGATAACACAAAGCTTTCATGGTGACAGCAGCGTTATCTTGGCCACATCTTTGGCAAATGGTACTTGCCTTCCTTTCATTATTTTCTCTATGCCATTGAGTATTAGGGATGGAAGGCAGCACAGGAATTCTAATATGAAAAAGTCGCACCTTTGCATTCAGGAAAACATATCCATAGTTTTCTCTTTGAGAAGTGTTACAGCAATTCAATTCCTTTTCTGAAATATCCCTCTGACATTTTTTTCTCCCCTATTACAGATGTCCAAGTGACATATCAAGTAAAAAATCCTTCAAGTTTTTTTTTAGGCTCAAGGTAATTGCATTGTGTGCCCACATAGGCTTTGCTGTAGAAAGCTGCTTAGAGAGAACACTTGACTTTCCAGGGGATGCAAAGAGACATTGGTAGAGATCATTCCAAGTCATGGTTATGATGCCACCATGTAGGACCATCCTAGTCCCAGTTGCCAGGGATAGTACAGAGTTACCTCTAAAGTTAACAGAGTCCTTTTCAGGTTTCCCAATGGAGATAACAAATTATATGATCCTCTATTTCCTTTTCTATGGCTTCCAAGTTTTGGATCCTTTCCTACACCCACCAGGTCCCAGGGTCTCTCAGGCCATTGCCTGCCTTAATGTAGGCCTCTTCTTGCTCATTCCTTCATGTCCTATTCTTTCTGGTTCAGCACATAGAATTATGGTTCAGAAGACAACACAGACACAGAGAAATGCTTAAATGTGACCATTTGTATCTTAAGAACATCTCCTTACTGGAATATATTTGGAAATAAGGAAAAGTGAAAGAAGTAATCTCTTACACAGTGCCCATGCAGGGTTTCTAAGGCATTGAAATGTGTTCACCAAAAATTCATATGTTGAAGTTCTAACCCTTCAGTACTTCAGAATGTAAATTTATTTGAAACGGAATCATTGCAGACATAAGTAGTTAAGATGAAGTCATACTGGAATAGGATGGCCTCTAATTCAATATGACTACTGTCCTTATAAATAGGGAGTATTTGTATGCAGAGACATGTACCATATGAAGATTGAAGTTATGTTGCCACAAGCCAAGGAACTACCAGAAACTAAGAGAGAGGCCTGTCCCTAGGGACAGATCTGTCCCTAGCACCTTCAGGGGGTTGTGGACACCTTGATCTTGGATGTCTAGCTTACAGAACTACAAGGCAATAAATTTCTGTTGTTTAAACCATTCAGTCTGTGGTACTTTGTTATCGCGGGACTAAAAAAAGAATATATAGAGTTGCACACTCAAGTTCCTGAAGTCCAGGAAAGTGACATTAATCAATAAATCTTCAAGTCCAAGCAATAAGGGAGCCACAAAGAACTAGAATGTATCTGTTTTTCCTAAAGATAGTCATATTCAAAATGCTAACTACCACCACCACCAACAACACAACAAACATATTTGCTGAATTTTTTCCTGTGCCTCAACTCCTCACAGCATGCAAATGAATAAATATCTACTATGCCAATATTATTAAACCCTAAAAACTTCAACCTGATGTTTCTGAAAAGTTAGCCCTTTAGGTTTTTGACCAGATCAATAATGATTCAGTTATTTTTGCCATAATATCTGATGTAACCTTTTTACATATTCTAAAGTTAATACTAAAAGTCGGATGTATCTTGTTACACTAGGGGAACAATAATACAAATATTATCTTTTTTTCTAGGTCAGTCTTCTTCTCTTGGCATATCCTAGGAGGTATATAACATTCTGGAACACACCATCTGCACCTCTATTGCTCATGGTTTCCCACACCTTTCCCCTTCTCTTCTATGTTGCTTGTCTAAGCCTAATGTTTCCTCATGCTCCAGGTTCAGTGTTCTGTGATGCCTTCGCTGACTCTCTTATTGATATATTTATAATTTATCTTTCCTATGGATATGGTTTTTATAAGACAAGAATCATGGACATTCACTAAAAATAAAACATAAGACTCTAAAAGGTGTCTGTTATTAAGAGATGGCTATGGTATTGAGTCGTTCTACGGTTAGAATGTTTTTGTCCTCCCAAAATTCATATGTTAAAATCCTAACTCCCAGGGCTATGGTATTAGCAGTGATTAAGTGATTATGTCATGAAGGTAGGGCTTTCATGAATAAAATTAGTGCTCTTAAAAGAGACCCCAGAGAACTGCCTTGCCCCTTCCACCATGCATGAGAACACAGTGAAAAGATGCCATCTAAGAACCAACAAGTAAGCCCTCCCCAGATACCAAATCTGATGTCTTGATTTTAGTCTTCCCAGTCTCCAGAACTGTGAGAAACAAGTATTTGTTGATTATGTACAACCTGGCTTATGGCATTCTGTTGTAGCAGCCCAAATGGACTAAAATACTGAAGTTCAATCAGGAAAGATTTTCAGAGGCATTAGTCTGTCAACAAAAAGAGAAGAGGATGTGAAATAGGTAGAGGATCAGGGTGAAGATGGTTTCAGGCTCATAGATACTTGCACATAGCATCAAGGTGGGATGGAGAACATTCAGAATTATCCCACTGGGAGAAATTCCAAAGGTACTGCTGGGTTCAAGTATTTGTTAGTGATTGTGTTTTCTTGCATCCTTTGAAAAATGTGATTAATAGTCAAAATGCAAAATTAGACATCTTAGAGAATGAGACTGCTTCACCCTGGAACAGAGAAATAAAAGAAACTTGTTCTGGCCCGAGGTATTCAACTTTGGTAAAGTATCAAACGTCTATTTAAACAGACTATTAACAATCCACTCCCATTAGTTAAGGTAAATATTAACCAGATGTAAAACAAAATTAGAAACATTTTTCTTTCATTTGTCAAAATCTAGATTCGTAATTCAAAGAGGCTAAATGCTATAATATATTTGTCATATATATAAAACTATAAAAAACATTTTTTACCCTCTTCCTTTGTGTGACAGTAGTCTCTGCACTTTTCTGTGCTTTCATGTTTTACGCACAGAGCAAATTAATTGCCTGCAAGTTACGCAGATGACAAAACCACCCATAGCACCCTGGCTCACACATACGGGTGCCATACATCCTGTGGCAACGGCCATTGTTGGCACAGTTACATTTCCTTTTGCAGTTCTTCCCAAAGAACCCTTTTGGCCATCCTGGAGGGTGAGAGGACAAATGAAGAAAATATTAACCCACATGTAAAACTTGCTAGAGTTATTGTTATAGGAAGTCAGGAGATTGAGAAAGGTGAAACGTTTCCAATCTGGTTGAAGTGAGGCTAGAGAGATCTTTTAAAAACCAACAAGATGATTCTGTATCCTCTGCTTAAAATCCTACAATGACTCGTCATTGCTGTTAGGTCAAAAATACCAAACTTAATAAGACTGGGGCCCCTGAGCTTGCTGACCTCATGTTGTACTACCCTCTCCCTGTCTGCCTGTGCTCCGCTGGCCTCTGCAGGTTTCATAGTGCATCCCATGCCTTCCTGCTGCCTCTTAATCAGGAAAGCCCTTTCCCTACTCTTCCCATGTTTTATCTCTTCACATTTTGCAGGCTTTTGCTTAAATGTCCCTTCTCCATAAGTCTCTCTCCTAGGCTCATACAGTCTGCGTTGTCCTCATGGTCTCGCCTCCAACCACATATTAATATTTAACTTGTAATCCCTACCAGTATTTGTAATTTATGGTTGCCTTGAACAAAATCGCAAGTTCCACATGGAAGCATAATAATATATTTTTTTTCCTTTTTGCTATCATATCATAATGTCTGGTGCCATTCCTTGCAACCACTTAATTTTTTTTTTAAATAAATAAATGAACATTGCTCACAAAGATAAGTAACTGAAATGCCAGCAGGAACCTTACTGCATCTCGGAAAGTGAAGTAAACTTGGTTTCCAACTCCCCAATTCCATCAACTGTTGAGAAGCTAATAAACTCCTCATGATTTCTGGCAATCCCTAGAGACTTACATCCTCATTGACTCTGTGCCTTCAGCTTTTGTGCCTGTACAAACAGGTTCTTTTTTTGTGCTTTATTAACCCATGTAGGAATTGTGGCCTCTTCACTGGTTTACACACACACACACACACACACACAATCTATACACAGTACTCATTGGAATTTTGTGAGATTTTTTATCTATCATCTCTTTTTCTCTTTTTCTCTCTACCTCCTCCCCTTTTCTTCTCTAATTTTCATCTGTCTTCCTCCCTGGTTTCCCCAAGGAGCTCCATTGTTCTTCATTTTGTTATGCAGAGAAAATAACTTCTCCTAAGCTCCTACATCTAAACCTGTACACATAAATGTAAGTTTTTGCTCGGTAGAAGAAAAAGGCTTTCTCTGTAAGAGGATTCATCCTGCTTAGATCACAGTTGGAGATTTAAGTATCACTTATTTTGTTGTTACACATGTCATTGTGTAACAACAAATTGTACTCTTTTATATAGAGAGAGACACAGCTTTCACAGCCTTTTACTTCTCCAGAAAAAGGCCATTTTGAAAAATACACATGCAACTTTCACTTAGTTTATTTCCCATTAGAAACCCCAAGAACTTAAGGAGTTATCTTACTGACTGGCACCAGACATTCCTTCCGTCTTTACAAGTTTTCCCATGAATCCCTGGGGGGCTCTGGCACTGCCCAGTCAGAAGATCATAGGTGCCTCCATTCTGACAATTACAGATGCTGCCACATTCTTTCTCATTGGTCTCTGGGGAACAAGCTATGAAGAAAATAGAGAAGATGAACAAGTAATGGAACATATGTTTTCTGATACAAATGGAGGGAAAAAATAGCTTGTCTTTCTATCAGGATAGATACCAAGTAATTAAAAACTCAGTAGCTTACAGGCCCAGGAAAAATTTCTGGCATGTTCCTAGATTGTATAGCATAATCACTCCCATGGGATTACTGATACAGCTAGTTAAAATAATGATGACTGAAGAAATTGCTAACAAGCTTCAAACGCAAAATTTATCTCATTTCTTAAACTCTAACCCTCACACTTTAAAAGCTACCCAGGCATCTTTGCTGTACAATTCTAACCAACCCTAAGGAGAAACAAACTGCATCTTCTATTTTGAAAACTGAGGGAAAATGCTTTTAAAATATCATGTATTTTTAACCGGGAATGAATGCAGCTAAGGTTCTCATGGGGGTCCCAAGGTAGTTTTCATTGTCAAAGATAAGGTAAAGTCAGGGAAACAACAGTTTTCATTAGTTTGTTGGTATTTTTGTTTTTAGTGCTCTATAAAAACGATAAATTGGGAAAAATGTCAGTGACCATATTTTAATGTAAGCAAATGTAGCTTACATCAAAATAATTTCAGTAATCATTGTAATTGAAATTTTGTCATAATAGGCTAAAAGTTATAAAATTACATTTATAAAATCTGCTCCATTCACCCCATGTTCCCATTTCAGATGGTAATATGGAACTTGGCTTCTTATTCACCCTTTTCTTTGCTTTCAAGCCATAGGCTGCTATGAAAGGGAAAAAAGGAAAGAATAAAACAAAAAGGAGAGACTAGCAACAAACATTTGCTGTGGCTTATATTATTAATTCACATTTTGTTAGCGTTTGCGTTTTAATAGCAACTACAGAAGGGGCAATTTTAAAAAACTGACCTGTAAAATGAAGCTAAGGAAGTTTAAATGGCTTGCACAGTGTCTGGATTATGGCAAGTCATCAATATAGATAAACCAACACTATAATTTGACACTCCCTCACAAAGTAAATGGCGATTATCACATAGTCTATAGATTTGCCAAATACTTCATTAGATCAAACAGTGCAGAGATTCTGGGGAAGAAAAATGTAAAACAAACACATGTCCCAAACCACAGCTGGATGATGAAAAAAAAAAAGTCATAAATCTCTCCTCCCATGTTTTAGTCTACTCATTTGTCATACGAAAAATACTCCTATCTTTCCTTTCCACCAGATAGAGTCTCACAATAATAAACGATTTCAATATGAAATCTTTCATAAGAAATGGGGTCCTAAAAATGTGCTTTTAAAATTAAATAATATGTGGTCATTTTAAAATTGTTTCAATATAATTATTTGAAGAAACCTCTAAGAAATCAAAGTAGATATTTTCATTATAGACGAATAAATATATTGGGCTAGAAGATCTACTCAATGGGAAAACTGACTTCAAGATCCCTGTTGAAAGTTCTTTTTTCATTTCTTTTGCTGCATTTGAAAAGCTGACAATCTTAAAAATGTAGCCAATGAATAACTGGTCTCTTCTGCTTATTGTAGTTTAAAGGGATTTATTTTTATTATTATTGTTTTTTGTAGAGACTAGGTCTTGCTATGTTGCCCAGACTGGTCTCAAACTCCTGGCCTCAAGTAATCTTCCTGCCTCAGCCTCTCAGAGTGTTGAGATTACAGACATGAGCCAGCACCCTTGGCCAATAGGGATTTTAAAGAAAATATTCCCACTCCCTCTTTTTGTTAAAAAAAAAATGAACAATTGTTTCTCATTTCTCTAAAATGGATTGTTCTGCTTTCATTTTTGTAGAAGACATAAGAGAAGGTTAGAGAGAAAGTGAAAAGAAGATGGAAGTTCTGCTTTCAGGGGTAGACTCCCCTTTATTGCAATATGTAAATATTTAAGAGATCCCCAAGGTTTTCTAAAGCCAAAGAAGATGCCATCTCATTTTTATTTTATCAGTAAGCTCATTTTCAATATTTTAATATTAATTTTATATCTGAGATATTTCATTCTTATGTGTTGGAGATATATTTTTTCATTATTATATTTTTTAAATTTATTGCTATTTAAAATATTTTTTTTTTAGTTTTTAATTTTTTATTTAGTTTATTTTATTCTTATTTGAGATATATTTTTTAGTTTTTTTTATTATGTTAGGGATCAAATATTGGGAGATGCATACTTGCCAATAAAACTTACAATATAAGGTAAATATTGACTTACTAGTAGTCATATAAAAATATTTATTTGATCCCAATTTTATATACTTGAGTGTGTCAAATTGCAGGTCAATATAGCTGGGAGTTTCAACACCAAGTTTTATCCATGTGTTCATTCATGCACTGGATGCCTCCAGTATAGAGAAATTCACAATGAATAAGCATGAATAGGACCTGGCCAGTGAGCCCTCGGTCTAGTAAAGAAGATAGAAAATGAACATAGTGAACTCTAATACAATGTGGAGAGAGAGAAATTTTTTAATCCACTCAAAACACAAATAGCTATGTTATTCTGAGGCCATTAAGTAAAGCTTCATGCAATAGGCAGCAATAGGCTTCAAGGATGACAGTTTAGCAAAAGGCGCGATGATGAAAGTGCAGCACATTAAGTAGTGAGTGGTTCAGTTTGCTGGAAATAATAGGTTAGGCGAAGAGTTATGACTAGGACAAAAAGCCAAAAAGATTTTTGAGAGTCTGATGGTCACCAGTGACTGGGTAAGATGTATACATTTTATATGAAGGGAAAGGGACAAAATTTTTGAGCAGCAGAGAAACATGATCAGAGGGATGCATGAGGAAGATCCTCAAAACCCTGACTAGTAATCTTGGTTAAACCATTTCACTATGTTATGACTCAAGTTTTGCATCTATATCATATAATAGTAACAACAGCTGTGTTCTTCCCATACGCAGAGAGTTCAAAAGAAAATCTGTTCATATCATCTTCCAAGACAATCACAAAAACTAAGACAAAACATTTATATAAATAGAACTCATAAGATGAATTTAAAAAGAGAAAGAAGAAACAAAGATAGTCAATACATTTTATTTTATCACTCGGAAGTTTGAATTCCTGAAAGCATACCTTCATTTAAAATATGGAGGAAAGGAATTTTGGGCAGAATCATTTTTAAATCTTTGAACTTACTCATGAGAGACTTGTATTAAAAAAAAAAGTCATTAACTGTGTTAATATATTTTTAAAAAGAAAAAGAACAAAAAAATACAAAAAGCCAAGCAGCAAACAGTCAAGCAAGTCCATTTAAATTGCACTTTGTAGCACAAATCCTTTCCTTTTTCCTTCATTGGGAATAGCTTGTCAGGGCCTAACGATTTATTTAAATGGAGGGATTTTTATAGGCCTAGAATATTAGGATCCTTTATTAACTTTTACATTCCATGGATAAACGAGAGCCAGCATGTCAAGTTTCCTAGGGAACACAAAATCTCCTTTTTAAATCACATTTTCAGTTTAAAACTTAAGCACTTCATAAGCATTATTTAAGCCCAACAAATAAATTGTCTTCTTGTCCTTATCAGTTGCTTACTTTATTAAAATATTTTGGGGAGAACATATGTAAAGGAGTGGTTTGGAGTGTTTGCCCAATTCTCAGGGTGCCACTTACTTTCATTACAAAGAATGCCACCCCAACCTGCTGGGCAGGAGCATTCACTCTTTCCTTCCTGGCTCTTTCCTCCATTCATGCAGTCCTTGCAGCTCAAGCTGCAATTGTGTCCAAAGATGTGATCTAAACAGACTGTAATGTGATACCATCTTAGCTTGCCCACAATCATCTACATAACTAAAAATCAAAATAAAACTAATTTCCTAAAAAAAAAAAGATCCTTGAGCATAGTTCCTAAAGAATCTTTAAAAAGGACAACAGCAAGATACAGCTTTTAAAATAAAGCTTATTTTACTTTTTCCAATTATTACACTGGAATATTGTCCCTAAGAATACTTAGAATCTTTAGGAATTTCTTTTTTAAAAAAGAAATTATCATTGATTTGAGAACAGAAGACATAATCAATGTTCCTGAAATTTTGATGCTTTTTCTTTCAGGATTTTTTAAGTATAGTTTTGTTTTCTGAGTAAATCTTTTTATTAAAATTTAATATGTAGAGAAGTACACAAATCTAAACTGTATACTTCAAACTTCTTTTCACATTGCAAATAACTCATGTAAATGCCACCCAGATCAAGATACATAATATTACTAGCAATCCAAAATCTCAAAGGTGACTTGATAATTTTCAATCATTAATTTCATAAATTAAGCACTGTGGTGATCTCTATCACCACAGATTATTTTCCCTTTTTTTGAACTTTTTATAGGTAGAATTGTAAAGTGTGTACTCTTTGGTGTCAAGCTTCTTTCATTCAACACAATGTATGTGAGATTCATGCACATTGTGTATGCAAGAGTTTATTTTTTATGGTTATATAGTATTCTACTGTATTAATGTACCACAATGTATTTATTTATCCATTCTCTTTTTGAGGGACATTATCATATCGAGTAAAGGTGGAGAGACGTGTATTCAGTTGTTTAAGGCTCATTCCATTTTAACTTTTGTCCTTGTTTCTAGGGTAGGGACTTTAAGATGCCCTAATTGAAAACTTGGCATTTTTACCAAGGCCCTTCTACTTCGGCAGGCCTGAGCTCCAAGTTCTGCCTCCCCATCATCATGAAACTGCTGATAAATATGCTTCACTCTTCAAACTCTTAGCAGCTATCTTTCAGATTCCTGGCACAACCCATTAATTGGCAAATGGCATGAGGAGAAAAGCATCTGAGACCATCCTACTTCTTTGGTCTTCTCTTCTTTGCAGATCTTGGCCACTCAAGTTCTGATTGCTGTTGTTGCTGCCCCCAACTATTTCTCTTCTGACTTTGATTAGCCAAAACATCAGAAGTTTAATTAAGAAACATTAAAGTACTTCTATTTTTATATAGAGACATTTATTGATATTATTATGATTTGACCACTGCATAAAAATATTTCTCCTATTTTTCTGAATACATTCTAAAGCAATCATAAGCTTTGATATTGTTAAAATACAATAAATAGAGGGAGAACAAAAAGAACAGCTCTGTTTTACAAAGAAAAAAAAGAAGAAGTGGACTGGCTGCAAACAGTTACTTTTGATAGAGATTTACTTTGATCAGAAGTCGATGCTTGAGCTCTGTTGTTTAGATACATAAGAAAACCTGCTCACATTTTGAAGATTTTTTTGGTCCCTTTGACCATATTAAACAATTAGTTCTCTGCATTTTAAAACCTAGAAAGGAACTACATTTTAGGGCTATTTAAGGTAAATTTTAACTATCTAAAGTGATTTCTAGTGAGATTTTAATAGAAGAATTAAAAGATCTCAATTTTTCTCCCCATTATGCTAATTTAAAGATATTTTTCTGCTCCATTTTCCTGTATTAACTTCAAGAACACCCCTCCGCACTGCACCCTCAGTTCTACAAGTACCTACACAGCACTCCTTCATTGTACAAAAGGAAATAAAAAAGACAAAAGATGATGGATTTCATAGAAAGCTCTGAAGAAGTGACTTTGGCCCTACTTTTCTTGCAAACTTCATATTAAAACATACGATAGCATTAAATATTGATAGTAAAATTGTCTACAAAAATGTAGCAAGTTATCTAAAAATAAAAGTGAGTATAATAAGGTAAATTCTTTTACACACCAAATTTGTGCAAAGCAGTCAGTTCTCTACAAGTATCTTTTTCCTCTTCCTCCTCATCTTCTTCATCTTTGTAGGTGGGAGGCAGAAAGGTAGCAACATAATGAAGCTGTTGAGGTGGGCTCTTGAATAGAAGACCTGGAAACCTCACAACTTCTCATTCCTCTTCTTCTTCCTCTAGCTCATCATCATCTAAAGCTAAGGCCATAGAAGAAAATGTGAGGTTTCAACCTGGTTAAAAGAAGGAAATACTGTGCAAAGGTTGATAGAGAAATGAGAGAGTTTGAACTAGACAGCCAAGGCAGGGGGTGACAGAAAGGTAAAATGCTTTGAGATGGTCATTTCAAAAGTCTATTGTAAATGAAGGTGAGAAGCTGCCGGCACAAAGTTAAAACTGTAGCAGAGAGAACAAAAGAAAATAAGGAAAGATCTTAGTCTGTGAAGGCAGAAAGGGGACGGCAGGTTGAGTTAAGAAATATGTGGCCTCTATTGCTCCAGAAGAACAAGATGAAGGTGGAAGTAGTTTAGAAAATATATTAATACAATAAAATTCTTCAGTGACTTACAGGTGCAAGTTTTTCTGTCATTTCCAATTCTGTAACCTTCTTCACAACTACATTCGTATGTTCCCACAGAATTAATGTAGTTGGTCACAGACTATACTGACATGCAGACACTCATCCACATCTAAGAAAATTTAAACAGTATCTGCTTTTAGGCATTGAGAGATATGATATATTTTATGAAATAATAGACATGTTTGTGTTCCTCTTGTGACCTTTATTAAACAATAACAATGCACTGCCACATAGACAGCAAGCATAGCCCCCTAAACTCTTTCTCAAGTACACTCGGCCAATTATTTTTCCTTCACTCATTTTCAAGTTTATTGTACTACACAGACAAGGTATTTCTGAGACCTTGTTTGTAAGGTTTAGATGAAAAACTTAAAATAAATTCAGGCCGGGCGCGGTGGCTCACACCTGTAATCCCAGAACTTTGGGAGGCCGAGGCGGGCGGATCACAAGGTCAGGAGATCGAGACCATCCTGGCTAACATGGTGAAACCCCGTCTCTACTAAAAAATACAAAAAAATTAGCCTGGCGTGGTAGCGGGTGCCTGTAGTCCCGGCTGCTTGGGAGGCTAAGGCAGGAGAATGGCGTGAACCCGGGAGGCGGAGCTTGCAGTGAGCTGAGATTGCACTACTGCACTCTAGCCTGGGCGACAGAGGGAGACGCCATCTCAAAAATAAATAAATAAATAAATTCATTCAATGGTCTCAGGCTGTGTACCCTTTTGTAGAATGTTCATTCACTCTCGAATTATTCAACATACATGATAGAAAACTTATTCTAGGTGTAAGTCAGTACAAGCTTTGTGGACAATTTCAGAGAAGAAAGAATTTTAGGCCTTGATTGCATGCGACTCACTGGTTTATGACCAAGTCTGAGTCCAGACTTTGGTCAATATGTTCGCAATACTATAAGTTCATGTATGAGCTTCTAAGCTTTACCTCAGATTGTTGATGCCTTTTCCATTTGCATGCGTGTATGCAAGTATGTATGTTCATGCTATACAATCATCTCTTGGCTCATTCTGCTTAAGAGCAGATGGTACATGAAATTTTAAAAATGTTTTTGGCTCTGTTAATTGAATGTAATGTGGTAAATGGCAATATACTCTACTGTGTTTAGTATATATAGATATCATAGTTGTGTGTTCATTGCGGTTATCTTCATCGCAAGGCTGGGGAACTTGGCTATCTATCACCTTTGACAGAATTCTGAAATGTGTTTCTTTAAGCAAAGAAAAACTAATTTCTCAGAGGCATTACAGTCTTATGTAATTTGATTGTTATTGAAATAGATATCAATCTTCTAATATTTGATTTTAAGAAAAATATGGTTCAAAATAATGGTAACAATAATATAAAATGAAAATTTAAAGATTAAACAGTTAAGGTAAACTTTTAAAGTAAATTACAGCAATGGTTACATGAGCTATTCATAATTGTATAAACAAAGTCAACAAACTCTACTCACTAAATTCAAAGTCTTATATTAAAAAAAAAATACAAGCAAAAAATCACTTGAAAGGTAAGTGAACTAATTTTAACATGCAAGTTAAGAAATTGTAAACGACTCATTTTAAAACTTGCATTAGTTATATTAATATTAGATACGTAAGGGATTCTGGTACAGATTTGGACTGTGGCTTGTGAACTGATGGTCCTTTTGCTCTTTAACTAAAAACAAAAACAAAAACAAAAACAACTCATTCAAAATGTCTTCCAGTAACCAACTTTCTTATTCCAGTCAAGTTTGCCATAGGTGGTTCCTCGGGCAGTGTGCCTTCCAGAATCTCTCATTTGCCTTTAATATATATTAAATTGTGTGAAAGGGATTATGGACCAATAAATATGATAATAATAATAGCTACTTTTAGTTGAGTAATTTTTCTATGTCGGCCACTGCACTAGGCACTTTACATTTATTATTTTCCTTAATTTCCCCACTAATCTTATTATTGTCATCACTTTAGTGATGAGGAGCTAAGGTTCATAGCAATTAAAGTCACCCAAGTTTATATGATAGTAAATGGTACAGCCACATAGAAATTCAAGTCTCTTTACTGTGAAAGCCTTCCCTTGCCCACCCTAGCCCTCCACCACAAACATTTCTCCTGCTTTATTGCCCTATCACAACAATTATTTCTTGTTAAATCTCAGGAATTTACCATCACATCCACAACCATCGGAACTGATCTGAAAGCCTTCCTGACATCTGCATTCGTAGCCTCCTAAATAGCTGATGCAGAGCTGGTCACAGCAGGCTTCTCCATTCTCACATTCATCAAGATCTGAAGGCGAAAAGAACACTGCTGTTACTGCAGAGACAGGAATTTAACGATCCTATAGAAGCACTGAGAAGCTACACTTCTAAATTAAAACCGTTTTACTAATCATTTTCTATTTCTCAGGCCATGTAATATAAACAGCGAAGAAACCTTAACACAAAAATAAGGAGACCCACTTTTGGTTTATGTTTCTTCATGCTTCGTCTATGCCTGTTATTTATTTTAAAAGAATGTAAATAATCTCCAAATGCATCTATAGGCATAGGAAAAGTGATCTCTCCTATTTTTCCAGTTTAAACAGTAATTGGACTGAATAAACAGAGAAGTTGAAGAACAAAAAAACAGCCTAAGAAAAAAGAGCCAAAAAATTCCATTTAGTGAACATTTGACAGCTGCAAAGAGGAGACAGTCTTAGACTCCATAACATGTTTGTTCTTCCAGAACTTCAGATCAAAGAGTATTCGCAAGCAAATGTTCCCAACTGCCTGACTGGGAAGGCAAGTGGTAACTACAGTTCTGAGAGAGGGGAGAAGACTTATTTCAAGTATTATGTTTTAAATTATAGAACATTTCAGAGCATTTGTTTGAATATTTAGATTATACTGTGACTGGGATGAGTGAGGTCTGGGGTTTTTTATTCCATCTGTGACATCATTACCCTGAAATGTCCTGTTAGGTGAGCAGTTTTCTAAGTAAGGATCTTTAAGCCTTCTTTCGCTCTGTTATTTCAGAATTCTACAATCCTGAATGCTTCTTATTAAGATATAACTGCCCTGGGGAAAATAGAAACGCACCAGAAGATGTCAAATTGTAAGTTTTCAGCCAAAGAATAACCTATTTAACCTGAGTTTGCAGGCGATCATTTCCAACATAATTGGCCAAGGAAGTAGCAACGGACACTTTGCCCCTGCTTTCCTTAGGCTGAACACCTGGGAATTACTTGGTCAGGGTATTTTTGGCTCTAGGACTTGGTTCAATTCAAACCCCTCTGTTTGTTGAGCTATTAAGGTGAGTGGCCTGTCAGTGCTGAGTTTACAAAATCCTATTGTTCCATAACTACATAAGCCGTCACAGATAAAAAGGGTCAGTGTCTCAATTAACCCTGGAAAGGGTATCAACTCAAGAAAATGAAGACAAGAGAAAGAAAGGAAAGAAAATACAGTCAGTCAATCAAGGTGAAAGGTCACCACAAAATATCTAAATGGAGGTCATTTAGACATAAAACATTCTTTTTCCCACAAAATGTCAAAAGCAGAGCTACTCACAAAATTATAAATGATATTTTTTCCTTTTTAATATTAAACCTTCCTTTTATTAATCCTTTTGATTAAATAGCATGATGTAGAGAATAAAAAACGTATTAAAAAATTCATTTTCAAGGCTGGGCATGATGGTTCATGCTTATAATCCCAGCAGTTTGGGAGACTGAGGTGGGAGGATCGCTTGAGCCGAGAAGTTCGAGGTTGCAGTGAGCAGTGATTTTACTACCTGCACTCCAGCCTGGGTGACAGGACGAGACCCTGTTTCAAAAAACAAACAAACAAACAAACAAACAACATCTAGTAATTTCTAAAGACCAATTATTCACTAGTGTAAAGGTAATTATTCATTTGGAATGTACATATACATATTTTACTTATTTGTCTGAGAACAGATTAATGTCACAGCTGCTTCACAAAAAACAGTCATGCATGAAGGAAATCAAAGGATTTTCTTTTTATATTATATTAGTATCAACTTTGAAAAAATATATATGAGAATGTATAAAAATTGTGAAAATAAGTCAGCCAGTCAGCACATAGATAATTAAACCTATCTAAAGGCAAAAACTTATTAGGGCTAAAACCTAGAGATGTGTTAACACAATTTGAAAGATAGGTATATAAAATGCAAGTGTCTTACTAGCAATGAAGTCACTAAATTTAACAATTAGCCAGTTATTAGAAAATATTTATTATTTCTAACTTTATTCAGTGACTATGTATAGGGAAGAGATACAGAAGATCAAGTTTTTCACTTTTGATGCTTTTCTGAAATCAGAGCTGAAATGTTTCTGTGTTTTGCCTGGCTGCAATTGGTCCTCTACTTTTGATTAAGGCTAAATTTTTATGTATGGATTAATTTCGGTACAATGGTAAAATATTTGGCATATTGGCCAATTTAGGAAAAATATGATCTTTAGAGAGAAGGACAATTATTAGAAGAGAAAGTTAAGCAAAACAAAAGAAAATGAAAGATTAAAGAATATTGAGGAAATATTAAGCATAACAAACAAAAAAAAGCAAATAAGGTATCATAATTCCTCAATGATGACAAATCACTGCTCTAGGAACTTGGAAGTATTTTCAGAATCAGGACACATAGTAACGTAGGTTAATACTTGCTATTCCTATTTATAGAGGGAAGCAAAGATCTAACAAAATAAAATTTAAAAGGAAATTTAGAAAACAGATGATGTTAACAGTGGAAATGGCAAGACATTTTAAGAAAGGCTTGTGATGTAGGAAGAATGGCGTTTCAGATGAGTTCCAAATGAGGATGGCATACATGGGACAAACTAGAAATAGCCCCAGAGGACTGTTAATAGAAAAAGAATCCAAAATGGATCACAAAATGATAGACTGAGGGACTTATTTTCCAATTGTGTGATGCAGTGTTGCTCCTTGCTATTTGAGAACAGGGCCTTTTTGAGTCCTGTATGTTTGAAGGCTCTGGTGGTATCTGAGAAGACTTTTTAAAAATCTGAAAAACTTTTAAAAAGCTTAAAAAATAATGTTTTAGATAAAATGAAATTGAATTCTTTATTTACTTATTTTTGAGACAGGGTCTTGCCCTGTCACCCAGGCTGGAGTGCAGTGGTGCAATCAGAGCTCACTGCAGCCTCAATATCCTGGGCTCGAGTGATCCTCTCACTTCAGCCTCCCAAGTAGCTGGGAGTGCACTACCATGCCTGGTTAATTTTTAAATATTTGATAGAGATGGAGTCTCCCGATGTTGCTCAGGCTGGTCTCAAACTGCTGGACTCAAACAATCCTCCCACCTCAGTCCCCAAAAGTGCTAGGATTACAGGCATGAGACTCAGTGTTTGGCTTGGGTTTTCTTTTTATTGTTGGAAAAATGAAATTAACTTGAGCCATAAACAATATAACATTGTCATAGTGACGGCTGAAATTTCATAAATATGCACTTTTCTACATTTTGACCCTGGCAGATGCTATTTTTTTCTAGTTATAAATAAGAACTTTACTGAATGGTATTTTTCAAAGAATAAAGAAAACACCAAATTTAAGTTGCAAAGAAAAGGTTTGGCAAAATTCCAGTTTCTCTTATCAATACTCAAAAGAGGAACAAACACAGAGACATAGAAGGAAGGAAGGAAAAGAGGGAGGGAAAAAGAAGCAATCAAAGAAGAAAAGCCTTAATTTTTTCTATGGATACAAATCTTATCAAGGTAGGTAAAAAATAGTAAGCATAGTTTTCATTAAATAATAAGAGGTGAGGAAAGTAATTGGCTTCAATATGTTAACCACTGTAGACTCGAGAACAATATTGAAAGTAATGTTGGATAAATAAATACAATGGCATTCTTTTGAATTTATAAAACCAGAATACTGCAAAATTTCTTGAGTTTCATTCTGTGTCATCATACTGCCGAAGTAAAATGTCCTAAATATTTACACCATTGAGTTTTTTGTACTTCAAATTTTCTCTATCTAACCATATTGAGTAGCATGAAATGGTCAAAGGATTTTGTATTGTTATTTTTAACAGAGGAAATATTAAGCATAACAAAAAAAAACAAGCAAATAAGGTGTCATAATTCCTGAATGATGACAAATCACTGCTTTAGGGACTTAGAGGTGTTCTCAGAATCAGGGCACATAGTAAGGTAGTTTGATACTTGCTTTCCTATTTATAGTAGATATTCCTTTTTCTCAGGAATGTTTCATTATGAAGCAAAACTGCAGTGCAATTTTATTTTCTTCATTGTCTCAAATGATATAAATTCTATTAATATGTTGAGAAAGTTAGCTATTCAAAATGGATTTGAGCTGGGAATTCCAAAGAATGAATTTTTTTGTCATCTTTTAGAATACAGCTACTTGCCATATCAAAGTTGAACATACATCCCAAACATTATCAAGCTGAAAATCAATGCAAATAATTTAGTTTCTGCTTGAGATAGAGAACACTGGGGTATGTGATAGCATTTGTTGTTAGAATTACAAATTACATTAAATAGTTGGATAGATCATGGAATATTTTCCTGAAATAAATCTATTAAGGGCATATATTTCATTGAAGTGTTTTAAATCTCCTTTAACTTCAAGGTAAATATCTAAATGTAACGGTTCTTCTACCAGGTAATCCTTCTTTTCCATTTATTCAGTAGCCAGAGACACTCTTCAATTTATTTATCTTTACAGTTTGAGAGATGTGGCTCACAGTATAGCCATAAGTACTACAGATTAAAGGGCTAAATGAATCCAGAGCAACTTTTGAATGAAGATGGCATTTACCAAACATTACCTATGCACATTTTCTCATCAGAATCAAGCTGGTGTCCATGGTTACAGGAACAACGGGGAGTACCAATTGCATGTTCATGGTGATGGGAACAACCACCATTGTTCTTTTCACAGCTATTGACAATTTCCAATTCAATCCCTTTCCAAAAAGAGCAAAATAGGATTATTAGCATAACAACAGAGAAACCTGAATATATGTCAATAATGTTCTCTCTGTTGAGAGGATGACAAACTTTATTAGAAATCCATCAACACTCTATACATATAAAAGTAAAAGTCTGAGGGTTATTAAGCATTGTAAATGCCTATACCATATTATATACTAATAAACATATAAATAATGTTGAGTAAGTGATACAGAAAAGTAATGATGAATCCACCACTGGTTATTAAACACTTACCTTAAAGGAAACATGTTTTGGGAATTTTCAGTATTTTCAGGATATAATAGGTGTAATATATATACATATATATTAAATCAATAATCAGAAATCAAATAGGTTGTTTGCCAGCTGACATTTCTGTTCTCGAGCTAATAGGATGTTATTATTTGTGATTTTTAGGGTCTATGAGCACATGAAAATACTGTTACAAAGTAACCTTGGAACAAAGGTGTAAACATAAACCCAGTGATTTAGTTGATCATGTGTAACTAGGGTCATGTTGATGCACTAATCAGCTTTGATTTATATGAGAATCACTTATTACATAAACAAATTATTACTGTGAAAATCAATTTGGCTAGTACATGCTACTAATTTCAGGCGTATTGGTGGGCATGAGCTTCAGCAGATGACTGCCAATTGTCCTGAGTACACAGGCATTATAGTCTCTCATTTTCTAAGTGACAAAATGAGAATTACAAAAATGTTTAGAATCCGTGTTAAAATATGGAATTTAGATACTCTGAATGTCATTTTTACCACTGAAGGTCTACCGGTCTTTATTTATGTTGTTTGAACATACCCCTTCTTACTGAGAGTGCCTACACTGATTCATTTCCTTTAAGTCTTAACTCATGAATCATTTAGAAGAAAAAAAGCTGGGGGAAAAAAAGCAACAACAAGACAAGAGTATTTCGAATTGTGACACTCAAAAAAAGCATATGTAAAAAAATAACCTGCCTAGACATCCGCTACAATTCCAGAATCATCCGGCCTAATCCCCGGCATCCAGTCCAGGGCACAGAGCAGCCTCAGATGCTCGCAAGCACCCAGGGCACATCCCTGTCATTGTGCCCATCCCATTGTGCCACCATCGTCTTGCACTCCCCAGCTCATAACAGATGTTCAAAATAGGTTTCGAATGATTGAATAACCAAAAGAAGGAGTATGCTAATCAATTTATTGCTAAAAATAAGAACCCCTTCAGGTTTAGAAACAGCTAGTTTAGGACTAATCAAAATCAGAAAGCTAAAGGAAAGCTTAGTGAAGGGAATTGATATTTTTCACGATACATTAACCTATACTCTTCAAGGGAACCTATTTCAAATGATGTCTCTGGTTGTGGTGATTGGGACACACAGATATTTCTGATACAGAATTGAAGTTTTTTTCTGACATATGCTTGCTATTGCCATTCTTACAAAGAGACATTTTTAAGTATTTATTTTTTTTATTTGGTATCTTAGAGTCTATCAAATTAATCTTCATCATTTCTTAGAGAGAAAAGTAAGGTCAATTGACATGAAATCACTTCATTAACATTTATGGCATTGTTGGTTTTAAAAGCCAGTCTATATTATGCAAGGTATCATATGTACTTATTAATCTAAATATTATGTCTTTAAAGTAACATAATTTTTGCTTAGGATCAGAAAACTGAGGTTCAGAAAGGATAAAAGACTTGCCTAAGGTAGCAGAGCTGGTAAGAATCAAAGCTTTCTAATCCAGAGACGTTTTCCTATATAATATCATTTGTAAAGCGAAAATAGCTAGGTGCGGTGGCTTACACCTCTAATCCCAGCACTTTGGGAGGCCAATGTGTGCAGATCACTAGAGCCCAGGAGTTTGAGACAAGCTTGAGTTACATAGTGAAACCCTGTCTCTACAAAAAAATACAAAAAATTAGCTGGGCATGGTGGCACATTCTCGTAGTCCCAGCTACTCAGAAAAAAAAGAGGTGGGAGGATTGCTTGGGCCGGGGAGGTCGAGGCTGCAGTGAGCTGTGATCTTGCCATTGCACTCTAGCCTGGGTGACAGAACAAACCCCTGTCAAAAAAAAAAAAAAAAAAAAAGGAAAGAAAAAGAGAAAATAATTCAACTAGCAATATAATCTATTTCACTGAAATATAGTGTAATATTTTTCCTAAGAGAAGTTAATGTGACATAATAGAAAAAATACAACATTTAAAGTTGGAAGATCTGACACTTTGTAGCTGTGTAATCTTCAATAATTTTAAATCTCTGATCCTCAGATTTTTTTCCACTGTTAACAGAGGGATCGAGTTGCACTAAGGTTTGGAAACTAGTGGCCTGCAATTATATGGGATTTGATTATCAAGGTGTTAAAAAAGTTGAGAAAATTTTAGGATTTCCACCATTTCAGCACAAATTAAAGGTCTCTTATTTTTTTTTAAGCCAATAGTCCATGTTACATCCATTCCAAAATATAGCTTGAGAGTCTCTTATAAACTTAAAAATACACCTATCATATGACCTTGTGATGCCAGCCCTAGGTTTTTACTGAAGAGAAAAATGTTTTTTAAAGCTATGTTCATATAAAAACCTGTATACAAATGTTTATAGCAGTCTCTTCATAATTGCCAAAACCTGGAAACAACTTAAATGTCCTTAAATGGGTGAATAATAAACCAACTGTAGTATATCCATACAATAGAATACTACTCATTGAAGAATAGAACTCTTCATATGAGCAACAACTTGGCTGAATCTTAATGGCATTATATTGAATAAAAGGATACACACAGTTTAATTCCATTTATATGACATTCCCAAGAAAACAAAATTCCAGTGAGGGAGAACACATCAAGTAGATGTCGAAGGTTAGAGATGGGGAATAAGTGACAAGCCAAGGGTAGCACAGGGAGTTTTCTGGGGTTGACAAAACTGTTCTTAATCCTGATTGCAATGGTGGTTACAGAAATCTACATATTTGTTAAAATTGTTATGATTATATACTGAAAATGTTAAATTTACTAAGAAAAAAAATAAATTAAGAGGCACTATAACCCTCCCTAGATTCCACATTTTTCTCCATTTACTGCCACATTGCCTAATTCTTAGAAGCACTTGATACCATTGACCATTTACTTCTCTAAAATTTTTTTCTTCAGAAAATCACATTATCCAAATTGTTGTTAAACCTTACTGGACATTCTTTTTCAGTCTTTCCTGTCTCTGTGTCACATTCTAGTTACTAAATGTTGGAGTCTGCAGTCTCAGTTCCCTCCTGCTCACTCCTCCAGACACCCTCCCTTTGTAGGTGACCCCATTCTTGCTCATGGCTTAAATACTGACATGTACATGTTGACAAGCTGCTCACTCAAGCTCTGACCACCATAAACTTGTAGACTTTTCTATTTAATTAGAAAATAGATAGAAACTACCTACATGTTATTTCTACTTGGCTCCTTAAACTTCACACGGCAGAAATAGAACTCATGATTTCTAAACATACCCTATATTTCACTTCAAAACCTGTTCTTCTATTGGACTCCCCATTTTGGTAAAAGACATTCTGATTCACCTGTTTTCTAAAACCAAGAATTCTTCTTGATTTTTCTTTTCTTCACATCCAAATCAGCAATTCATCTCAGCTCTCTCTGCAAAATAAATCTCAAATCTACTGCTACTAGCTTAATTGAAGCCACCACCATAGCTCACCTGAATGACTCTAATCTTGCTTTTACAGACACTCCCTACTGCCCATTCCCTACAGAGTAGCCACAGTAGTTCTTAAACAGTGAAAATCATATGATATGACTGTTTGTTCAAAACCACCCAATGCCTTCTCATCACATTTGGAATAAAATCCAAACCCCTTGTGGTGGCCAAGTCTAGTACAGTTTGATTCTTCCCTTTCTCTGCCTACTGCTCTCATCGACTATCTCTATGACTTGTTCATTCTTTTCCAGTCCACACTGGTTTTCTGTTTCCTAAAACATCAAGTTCAGCCTTACCTTAGGGTCTTAGTTATTACTGCTCCTTTTTCTTGGATCTTCTCATTGTATATTAACACTATATAAGATGATAGTATACATTTCTTTGATTGATTTCCTGTTTTCTATCTCCTCTGTAGGAATTTAAGTTCTATAAAGGCAGGAACTTTGCCTGACTTGTTCATCGTTGTATCTATAGTATTAGGAACAGTGACTGGCACATGGTAGGTATTCAGTAAGCATTTGTTGAATAAATCAGTGGGTCTAGTACACTGGCATCACACACCCTCTAGGTGACAGTTAGCTGGAGGCAAGCTATCAAGCAATAGCTGTCCTCTCCAGGCCCAAAACTCCCTCGCCAGTTCAAAACAATCCCTACAATTTCCTATCTTTTATGCTTAGTCTGCCTTACACATTTATATTAATTGCCTGTCTTGCGTTGGTGTTAGAGTTTTGATCCCTGGATTAGGTTATATTTAAAATACTGAAAACTATAATAAATTTGTAATATTAATTGATTTTTTAGGGGGGAAGACAGGTAAAAGTATCCATTTGACAATTTTTACATAGGCTTCTCTTATTCTTGCTATTTTCCAGTGATATTGCATCAATGCAGCTTTAGACTGCTGGTGGTAATTTGATTTAAATATAAGAAATACCATGGTTACTTCTTTAAAGACATATGGGACTAAAATAAGTGCAAACTCAGATCTATAACTACCTACTAGATGCAAGCTGAGATTTTGATTCTTTGATTCAGATGATAAAAAATGTTTTTATTATAGTACTTTAAAAATCATACTTAAAACATTCTCATAAGTAGCAAATATATTGTTTGCTTGATAGATAAGATGTACATTAAATATGTGTGAAATATGTTAAACTATATTACATATTGCTTGGTAATGTGAAGGAAGCACGCTGTATGTGGAATTTTCCAATTTCTAATTATAAGACACTGATAGCTAATTCATAGTACACTGTGAAGATTCAGTGGTTATACTGCAAAGTGTTTTGAG